CTTGAACCCTCCCCACTCTTTGTTTTGTGCCTGTTCCAGAGACAGGTCTCACTGTGTTGCCCAGGCTGGTCTCAGACTCCTGGGCTCGAGCAATCCTCCTGTCTCAGCCTCCTGAGTAATTGGGACTGCAGGCGTGAGCCACCACTCCCGGCTTGACCCCACTTTTCTTGAAGCATTTCCTCTCTCCCGGTGACCCACCCGCTGGTGTGTTTCCCCACTGAATGCCATGGCCAGATGACAGTGAGCACCATGGCGTCAGGGGGCCAAGTGCTGGTGCTCATACCCACCATTTTCCCATTTCACCATTTTTATTTCACCTCTTCATGCTTTTTTTTATAATTGGGCCCTTTTTTAAATTAAAAACTACATGTTTTGAAATTTTTACAACATATGTTGATTTTGTAATAATAACAGAAAAAAATATAAACAAAAAAGGAGAACATTATATACTGACCTTCCCAAAGTCAGTCCTGTTAATTCCTTGTTATTTCTCCTTCCAGATGTCTGTGTGTGTACTTTTACCAAATGAGACTGTGCTATTTTGATATTTATAACATTTGTAAAGTTAATACCAGCTACCTTTTTGTGTCAATGAATGTTTATCCTGTCTGTATCTTATCTTCCACTCTCTGGTTTCCTCAATTTCCTCAAATTGTCCCAAAAATGTGCCTAAAGGGCCGGGCACGGTGGCTCACGCCTGTAATCCTAGCACTCTGGGAGGCCCAGGCAGGCGGATTGTTTGAGCACAGGAGTTCGAAACCAGCCTGAGCAAGAGCAAGACCCCGTCTCTACTAAAAATAGAAAGAAATTAATCGGACAACTAAAAATACATAGAAAAAATTAGCCGGGCATGGTGGCGCATGCCTGTAGTCCCAGCTACTCGGGAGGCTGAGGCAGGAGGATCACTTGAGCCCAGGAGTTTGAGGTTGCTGTGAGCTAGGCTGATGCCTCGCCACTCTAGCCCGGGCAACACAGTGAGACTCTATCTCAAAAAAAAAAAAAATGTGCCTAAAATTATCCAAATTAGGATTTAGTCCACAACCATGCATTTGGTTGATACATTGGATCCTTTGGATATCTGTTAATCTAGTTTTTGGGGTATCTTTTCATGATACTAAATTTAATAAAGAGACCTGATCCATTGTCTGTCCTGCAGAATGTCCCATGCTCTGAATTTTTTGTTCTCTTCCTTCCTAAGTATCATTGAGCTTGTGCCTCTAGTCACTCTGTTTCCTTCAGACTAGAAATTATGTCTAAAAGGTTTGCTGGATTTGGGTGAAACATTTTTGGTTAATAGACATCTTAGGAGTTGTGAAGATAAGTTAATTTGATGCTGAGGGTCTAGGCTAATTAGCATGATTATACTCAGGAATGCAAAAAGCAAATGGGTAGCAAAATCAACTAAAAACAGCCCACTTGCAGGCAAGTGTTGTTGCAAAAGAAGTGAAGTTAAACCCACTCCTTATTTTGTATGAATTTCATGTATTCTCTTATTTTTACAAAGGTCAGATTGTTCTGCTGGGGCAAGGCCCACATCATAGATACCTCCTTGTTGTTTTCAGTGACCTTGCCGTTGGCTCACATCCTTTCATGACACTGACTCCCCATGCACGTGAGTCAAGCTAAGTTACCTTCTACACAGCGCTTTATGAGAAAATAATCACAATAGCTAACATTTATTGAGCCTGGACTACACTACGTGCTTTGTGGGCACTGTTTCTTTTGATCACCTCTGCAGAAGACATATTTATTTTGTCCCATGTACCGAGAAGGGAGTCCTGGTCTGTGTTTGACCATCAGCTGTCTGAACCCGGAGCCTGGGCTCTGAGCCTCAGCCAGCTGTGGACCTGCCCCTTCCTCTGTCTCCTTGTCTTTGGAATTTCTGTCATATTGTTTTACTTATTACACATAGGTCTATGATCTGTCTCAAATTAGTTTTGTTTGGATGGATACCCAGTTGTTCCAGCACCATTTGGTGAGATTTGGGCTCATTGATCATGTAACCGAGTGAAAAGCTCTTAGAACAACACTGGAATAGATATCTCCAAGTCCCCTGTCTGTCCTTTTTTTCTTCCTACTCCCCACTTTCTCTCCTTGACTATTGTGGGATCACCCTGGGGAGCTAACAGACCAAGCGCTCAGGATGAGCCTTTGTCGCCTGTTCTGTTTTCAGAACAGCTTGGGAGCAACATTTCTGAGGTTCTCTCTTTCTCATTTTAATAAGGCTAGTAGGTGTTTTTCTAGTTCATCCAGGCACACGCATTGGCATGTTGACTTGTAGAAGCCCCGATTCTAGGCTTAATTTATGCAAGTTCTCAGTTGGCAGCCCTTGACACACCTAAAGTTTAATCAGTTTTTTTAATTGGAGGGGTTGATGCACACATTGGCTTACTACTCGGATTGTTTGAGGGTGAGATGTTTGTCCCCCTCACCCTCCCTCGTCACCTCATTCTGCTACTGGCTTGCTGTGTAGTAAACTGCAACTGATAATCTGAAAATCAGAGTTTTACAGTGGGGACCATGCCCTGAAACCAAGAATATCTGATATCCTCAACCTAATCGTGGATGCAGGAGAGACACCTGGGAAAATCTCTACCCCTTGCTCCTTCCTTGAACCCTCCCCACTCTTTGTTTTGTGCCTGTCTTGTATCAGATATTTTTAAATTTTGTAGAAGAAATTCTTTTGCCTGGGAAAGCACTAGGTTGGTAAGACAGCTCTAATTGCTCTCTAATGGAAATATCGAAGTGAGGTATTTCTATGTGCTTAAAGAACTGGGTACATAGAGTTTTAAGCTAACCCAGTAACAGGCAAAGTACAGGTTAGAGCCCGAGTTCGAACTCAGGTTCCCTTGATGTCAGGGCCGATAGTCTTAAATGCTGTACATGGGAGTAGG